ATTAAAAGTTTCTGTAACTGTTTGGTTAATTTTTCACAGGTCGGTTGTTTTCATAGATAGATAAAACTTTATTCCGGAATCATGGTCTAATAAATACATACATAAAATAAGATAAAAATAGTATTACTTGATCAAGCCTTTTGTGTCATTCTACAATTTAAAATACAAGAGGCGTTCAGTAACTAATGCCCCTGACCCACTTCCAGTTGTTTGATCTAGCTGAAATTCTGCATATTTGATTATTTATATCTCTATAGATTAAAAGCCAATTTATGCTTCTGACGCATAGCCTCTGCAACCGACAAATCTGTCTCTGTGCGCGACCACGGCCCCCGTGCAGAGGTTGCAACCGTTGTTGCGCACTTCAAAAAAATCCTGACTATGCATCGGACTGTCGCAAACCCATGCAGACTTCAAGCGGAAGTGTGCAGACAAAAACCAGCTGTGATTGGTCCTTGGTATGCCCTTCCGGCTGTCTGTTTGGTCGTCCTTCTCGATTCGGTGCCGGGGCACGACATTTTTAAAAACCGAGGAACAACTATGGTCAACTACGACGAAAGGTTAATCGGTCTTTTTGCCAACTCCATTAACAGAACCTGTTCTTCTTCGATGTCTAGCAACTCTAGATCCATCTCCGTGACCGTGATATCTTGTAGACTCGCCATTGTTGTTTTACAAAATAAACACTCCTACTGGTGCCATCGAGTTCTCGAATAGGCTCCCCCTTGCTCTTTGGCGGGAAACTGCTCTGCGGCGCTAGAAATTCCAGAGGAAGGGTGCAGCAGCGTACTAGTAAAACTAGCAAAATTATACTGCAGAAGTATAATCTGGCCTTAAGTGGGAAATTACAGCTCTGAACTAATTGTTGTTTCTGATTTACAGGTGTCTGAACTGAGTCAGGTGTGAAACAGAGCCTGTCGAGTGTCGAGCAGTGATTCGTTTTTTGTATTTAAAAGGACGCACGCCACAGGAGACTTTTGTTGAAATGAAAGTCACTTATGGTGATGATGCCCCCTCATATGACTTTGTAGAAGGCTGGCATCGTGAATTCAAACACAGTCAGAAATCCGTGGAAACAGCTCTCAGATCCGGTCGTCCTCCTTCTGACATTGATGAGTCATCTGTCCGTCAGGTTGAGGCTGCCATTTTGCTGGATGGACGGATAACTGTTTGCCAAATAGCTCATGAGGTCAAAATTAGTACCGGGTCTGTGGAAACTGTCATTAATTACCATTTGCATTTGCAAAAACTGTCTGCCAGATGGACTCCCAGGATGCTCACACCTTTCCCGAAGCAAGAACGCGTCGAGTGCTCGCGGATGAATTTGGAGACGTGTCGAAAAGATGAGTCAATGACTGATAACACAGTTTGAAAACTGGGTCCATCGCTATCCCTGTAATCCAGACACCAAAGGCCAGTCAGTGCAGTGGAAGCACCTTGACTCGCTTTCTACGAAGAAGGGAAGGGTGCAGCCCCCCGCTGGCAAGGTCATGCTCACAGTCTTCTGGGACCAGGACGGAGCAGTGATGACAGGTTGCCTGGCTAAGGCTACCACAGTGACAGGAGCCTATTATGCTTCACTTTTGAGGAAATTAAAAGAAGCTATCAAAATCAAGTGGTGGGGCAAGATCAGCAAAAGCATCCTCCTCTTGCAGGACAACTCTGTGGTCCACAACTCGCATGTTCTCATATCAGAGGCACAGGCGTGCGGCTATTAACTCCTCCCCTATCCCCCCTTCTCTCTTGACCTTGCACCCCCTGACTTTCACCTCTCCCCAGCCGTGAAGTTGTTTCTGAAAGGAAAGTGCTTACCAGATGACGCGGCCTTGATTTCTGAGGTCACGTCGTGGTTTGAGGACCAACCTGGGGCATTCTACAAAAACAAATGCGTAACTCTGGGCGGTTCCTGTGGAAAAAGACTATGTCTTTGCCAAGTGTCATTGCTCTATTGCTATGGGAAGCCCATGCATCCATCCATCTTCTTCCACTTATCTTGGGTCGGGTCACGGGTTTAGTAGCTTCAGTAGGGAGGCCCAGATGTCCCTCTCCCCAGCCACTTGGGGCCAGCTCCTCCGGGGAAATCCCAAAGCGCTCCCAGGCAGGCCAAGAAACAGTCTCTCCAGCGTGTTCTGGGTCCCTTCCAGGGGCTCCTCCCTGTGGGACATGCCCGGAACACCTCACCAGGGAGACGTCCAGGAGGCATTCTAATCAGATGCCTGAGCCACCTCAACTGCCCCCTTTCAACTAGGAGAGGCTCTATGGGAAGCCCCTTGCAGGTAATTAAAGCTGGTAGGATTCATGCTAATATCGTATCGGGTCAATATCAGTATTGACATAGCTGGAATATCGGTATCATATCGGAAATTAAAAAGTTGTATCAGGACATCCTTAATCCAAACTGAAGGTGCTAGGAGGCTAATGAACTCCTAAATATTATGAAACAATAATTCCAGCCACTAAATAATATAAACATTACAGCAATGCCAGCGCAGGAATGATAGGTGATGTTATGCAATAACTTTATTTTCGGAAACTAGTGCAGCACTAACGTCTGGTCGGATGATTCTTTGAAACCAAAGCAGCACAAACGGCAGGTTTACCTGCTCAAATCTGCACTAAACTAGGTTTAGAAAAGTAAACCTATTTCTCTCTTTAAAAAAAAAGGAACAGTTTTGAATCAATGTGGGGGATGGTTTGACCTTTGTACACTAACCAAGCACTAACCGTTCAGTCTTTGCTGAGTTTTTCACACGGATGTGGTCTCAGCTTCACACGCTCAGCTGCGCTCCTGGTGACTGAATTGAGCACGTGGGACTTTCAGTGTGCACATGTGGTGTAAAATGCGCCCATTTAGCCTATATAGGCTGATGGGGAATGAAAATAGATGACCCCAATATGGCCGAGGAGCATAATATACACTCATGGTTCACTTTTGTGCTGATGCTCACGCCATACTGAACGTCCTGAATTTAACATCAAGGAGTGGAAAAAGAAAACACACCTTTTTTTCTTTTGATCAATATTTACTGTATTGATAGTTTTCTTTTCTGGAAAATTATGAAAAATAATTTTTGGGGGGAATTTTCTTCCTTATTAACTTCCTTCCTCCCTCCCTTCATTTCTTCCTTATTCACCTCATTCCTTCCTTCCTTATTCACTTCATTCCTTCTTTCCTTCTTTATTCACCTCATTCGTTCCTTCTTTCCTTCCCTAATTACATCATTCCTTTCTTCCTTCCTTATTCACCTCATTCCTTCCTGCCTTATTCACTTCATTCGTTCTTTCCTTCTTTATTCACCTCATTCGTTCCTTCTTTCCTTCCCTAATTACATCATTCCTTTCTTCCTTCCTTCCTTATTCACCTCATTCCTTCCTTTCCTTCCTTTTTCACTTCCTTCCTTCCTTCCTTATTCACATCATTCCTTCCTTCCTTCCTTCCTCACCTCATTCTTTCCTTTCTTCCTTTTCACTTCCTTTCTTCCTTATTCACCTCATTCCTTCCTTCCTTATTCACTTCTTTCCTTCTTTATTCATCTCATTCTTTCCTTCACTAATTACATCATTCCTTTCTACCTCCCTTCCTTCCTTCCTTCCTTATTCAACTCATTCCTTCCTTCTTCCCTCCCCTATTCACATCCTTCGTTATTCACATCATTCCTTCCTTCCTTCCTTCCTTCCTTCCTTCCTTCCTTCCTTCCTTCCTTCCTTCCTTCCTTCCTTCCTTCCTTCCTTCCTTCCTTCCTTCCTTCCTTATTCACATCGTTCCTTCTTTCTTTGCTTATTCACATCATTCCTTCCTTCCTTATTCATATCATTCCTTCCTTCCCTATTCACATCCTTCCTTCCTGCCTTCCCTATTCACATCCTACCTACCTACCCACCCACCCACCCTGTAAGGGGGCTTCAAGATGAGCCTGGAGGAACTGTCAGGTGATAACATTTATAAATTGCCGCATGTTGTCTGACAACAGTGTCTAACTTCACATGCGCCTCTTCTCCTGTTAATATGGTAAACCTCCGGAGCATCCGGCACCAGGCTACACGTGATACAAATTAGCCAATCAGCTGTCAGTCTGGGCTGCTGCTGCTGCTAATTTTAGACACAGCAGGTAAACCTGTGGCAAGCCAGGCGATGGGAAAGAAGGAGAAGACGATGAGAAAAAGAGAGCAGAGAAAGTGTGGACTGCTGGAAGAACTGTGGTGAACTGGTGAAAGAAAAGTGAAATGGTGCTCAAAGATGATCCTGCACATTTAGAGGATGTTTGGCTCAACCTGCTGCTGTGAAGCAGGATTCTCCACCATGAACAGAATCAAAAATAAATCTGGATCCAGGCTCAAAATGAGCTCCTTGATATGTGCTTGAGAATGGCTTAGTCTCCATTCAAACCAGGTTTAAAGCCTTGCAGGGCAGCATAAAGCCCACTGCTCTCATTAAGACAGAAAAAAGAAAAAAAAATATATAAAAAAAAAGGTCAGTTAAGATGATTTATAAATTATTTTAATTGGGATATTGTCTTTATTCCAAACTGAACAATTGTTCTCTACTTCAAAAAATACTTCAGATTTATTTTTTATTTAAAAATCCAATGTATAACATGAGTGCATAAAAGCCTGCTTTTTGTTTCAGTGTTTAATTCTGTTTAAAGTAACAGATTATAATTAAAAATGTCTCCTGACCTTTACTGTTTGACCCCGCTGATTTTTAAGTGGTTACCCCTGGTCTATATGCTATTTATGAGTCATCATCATTCCTTTTTAGACAAATATTGTGTCAGCTCCTCTCCATATTATTTTCGCTATTGATTATTTTGTCAATGAACTCGTAGTTTCTGCATCGCACTAACAGTTACTGTCAGACGTTTGTCATCGTTTACAGACAAAAATGTTGGAACTGCCGGTAAATCCAGCAGCATGTTTGAGTTCCCTCTGTTTACTCTGCTGCAGTGCAGGAACACAAAGTTCAGCAAACAGCCGCCGCATCCATCAGTGTTGCTCAGAGCTGTTGCTCAACTCCAATCAGACCTGACTGAGGGTTTCTGGTTAGTCGGAAGTTTGACGCGCTGTAGGAGGGTTAAAAAGATCCCACTGCAGGGCCGGAGGAAACATTCAGGACCTTCACAGAGAAGAAGAACAACAGGAAGATGAAGAGGCTCAGCTTACTCCTCTGTTTGGCTGCTATGGCCGCAGCGCAGGTAACTTCTTACTGACCCAGATCTAGCTTTAGTTAATCAGATTTGAGGCTTTAGATGAACAGAAGTCTGATTTGAGTTGATTCCGTTTAGATATCTCAGTGACAAATAAAAAAAAAGCTGTTCTAAAATATCTAATGGCATGAATTAACTCCTGGCAGAGGCTGTTTATTGATAAAAAGGAACCAATCCATTTGTTTTATTTATATGTTTTTATTTAGCTCATCATTCTAGCAGTTAATAATTAGTTTAATACTGAAACCTTAATATCTGCTCCAATCTGGGTGTCAATAGAGAAGGGAAACTTGGTTTAACACAACCAGATAAATAATCAAGAAGAGACTTTGATCCTGTCTGATGGCGGGGCAACATGTTAAAATAAAAGCCACTGCACCTTTAGGATGAATGATAAAAAAATGAAAACAAAATTAGACATACTGTATAATATAGCATATTCTATACTGGCACATATATTCACTCCATAATTGTATGGAGTGAAATTTATTTCATTATTTTTGCAATCAAAGTACATATTTTGTTAATGGAAATTTGAAAAAAAAAATAATATAAAAAATATTTTTTAGAAAGACCTTTGATGAAAACAAACTTTTGAAAACATTTTAATCAGAAAAGAATAAAGTCTTGAGAGCAACTTTGCTTTTTTCTCTGATTTTTTTTTTCAGAATTCTGTTTTTTTTATTATTTTATTGTAGTTTTATTGTTTACAACTAACATTTTACCTGTTTTTTTTTTCAAATTTCTTTTTTAGATCTAATTTTTTCGAACTTCATTATTTTTGAAAAAAAGGTTGAAAAAAGAAATTACAAAAAATCAAATCTTCAAAAAAATCTAAACATATATGAAAGATTTATTAAATAAATAATGAATTAGAAAAAAATAAATCTGAGAAAATATTGTTTATTTAAAAATCTTTTCAAAGTTTAATTCATCTTGATTACATTTTTTTTATTTTTTTATTTTACAAAACATTGAATGTAATAATAATGGAACAAAATTCACTCCGTATAATTAACAGTTTAAAATGAACTTTTCTGTTTTCTCTGATTTTTTTTGCAAGAATTTTTGTTTTATTTTATTGTAGTTTTATTGTTTACAACTGTTACTTTTTACCTTTTTTTTTCAAATTTTTTTTTAGATTTAATTTTTACGAACTTCATTCTTTTTGAAAAAAAAGGTTGAGAAAAGAAATTACAAAAAATAAAATCTGCAAAAAAAATCTAAACATATATGAAAGATTTATTAAAGAAATAATTAGAAAAAAATTAATCTGAGAAAATATTGTTTATTTTAAACTTTTTCAAAGTTTATTTCATCTTGATAAAAAAAAAAATTTCAAATATTTTACGAAACATTGAATGTAATAATTATGGAAAAAAATTCACTCTGTATAATCAGAGTTTAAAATGAACTTTGCTGTTTTCTCTGATTTTTGTTTTCAATATTCTTTGTTTTATTTTTTTTTATTTTATTGTAGTTTTATTGTTTACTTATTTTCAGGTTTAATTTTAAAAATTCTTTTAAAGTTGCATTTTACAAATCGCATTCCCTTTACCTCTAGAGGCAGGCTTTCCTCTGGAGTGAGAAACAAAGACGCATTTCTATTGGTCTGCTGGAAGTTAACATTTTTATTCATCAATGCGTGCATTAAGAGCGACATTTGTATCGAGCTTGAAGCGAAGATAATGTGATTTGTGAAATGCAGTTTGAAAAGAATGCAATTTATGAAACTGTCTGAAAAAAAAAAAAAAAAATCTGTGTTGATGTCGCCCTTATTCCATCCCAGCCTGCAGTGGTCGACCCCCGAGGATCGCGTCCCGTGGAGCACGCCACCAGGGATGAAAAATGTGCCACCCAGAAGGAGTGGCCTTTTTGCACAGACGATGACTGGGTAAATCCTCCTGTTTTATATCTACACTTTATAAAAAAAAAAAACAATATTAAACATGATATATTTTATACAAAAGACTTTCTTCAAGTTTTGTTTCTATGGATGGTTTGTGTTAACGTTCATGGTTGAAAAAAAAAACAAACAAACATTTGGAGCACCATAAAGGTGGTCCAATGAGGGCTCAGTTAGCTTTACATAGATTAGTATCTGACTTCACAGAGGGCCAAACTAACTTAGTTACAATAGTCAATGGTTACCAAAAGTTAAATCAAAGAAAATATATATTTTGTGTTGGGTTTTTTTCATATGTTAATAAAAATGTTTTATAATATCAAACCTTTGGTTTATAAAATAAAGTAACAATATATTTATTTATTTATTTACTCCTGTTTACAGATGTATATCAAGATTTGCTTTACCTTTTTGAAAGCATGTTTCTAATTCCAATTGATCTTCCCAGCTTCAAGTTTCGTTTGCTCATTAAAATCGTAGGGAAATCATATTCAAAATTCAAATCATTCTGGCTTAAACTTGTATATAAATATACCATTTATCAGACCATATTGTCAAAAAAGTTAAAGAATTTCTTTTTTTAAAAATATTGTCTTAAAATCTTTTTTTTTTTTTCTTTTTTCGTGATCTTATGCAGGCCTAAATTCGGCCAATCATAAATCAACCGTCATCTGTCAATCAAATTTTTTTCGGTCATAGTATCTTGATTCATGTGTCGCAGCTAAAATACGCAACAGTTAAAATAAGAATAATTTCCTTTCCCATTGAGACACTTCCCAGTGTTCACGGGGATGGACGTCTGGCGTCCTCTTCCACAACATCTTCGTCCCTCTTTCCTCCTCTAAATAAAAAATGTATGACGGAGGAGACCCATCCACGACCTCCGACAATAAACTCTGCTCCTCTTGCATGTTTCCTCTGTCCATAGCGTTCCTTGACAGTGTTGTTTCTTAGTCACCAATTTAGTGCTACTTGGTCACAATGGAATTTTCCATTGGGAACCTACTAGCAATAGGGTTGCTAACTGGTTAGCAAGATGCGTCCAACAAACCCGCCAAAACCAAACATGCTTGCAAATCTTCCACCACAACACTCCCGCCCCCTTGATAACCGACCAATCACATTCACTTCATTCACTCGTGTAAAGTCGTGCATACTCGGGAGAATTCAGAAATGCAACGGTTGGAACAGGCGCTTCCCTACAACTTTAAGCTAATTTCAGTTTTCAGCCACAACATGCTTTTGAAATGATTTAGTCTTTAATGGATCTTTTCTACAAGTGCTGTTTGCTTTTGGGGTCTCTGTTAATATCGATCCCCCTAAGCCAGTATGAGTGTTGTTTAAGAAAAGAAGACATTAGCTTTTTATGCTAGCACCGCTTCAGTGAAACACAAAATTAAAATTCTGTGCAGATTTACTGCCTTTTATTTCTGAGGTAAATAGTGCTCTATTCTTTTAAATTAATTCCACAAGAAGAGCAACTTTACAGCTTAATCTGAATCACTTTTTAATCTCTAAAAGTGAGGTTTCGCATAAAGAACTATTAGTTAGATAGATGCTAGTCTCTGAGTTAGCTTGAGGTAATTTGCTGTAAAAGGCTAATTTGTTAGCCAAAAGCCCTTAAAATTCTTCCTTATTGTTTTAACATTTTTAAAATCTCTTCTAAATTTATACTTAATTCACATTCATATGGATTCCCGGCGAAATACATTAATTTTCATATTTCTTCTTTTTGTCATTTCTTAAAAAGTTATTGAGATTTCAAAGAATCCCATTTCGAATCTGCAAAAATATTCTTGAAACCTGAGGTTAATGTAATAAAATATTTTAACTCTATCACACCCATTGTTTATACCGTGGTTTGTAACCAGCTTAGAAAGCTGTTAGACTTTTTTTTTTTTTTTTTCCAAAAACACAAGATAAAGTGAGGAGGTCTCAGTTTTTGTTTGGGAACAAAATAAGGTTCCTATTGTTTCATTTTGCTTATTTTTTAGAGGTTTAATATGATTACAGTTGGTGGGAAAAGCCTATTTAAAAGCAGGTGTTTGTATTATAATTATTTATATTTGCCTCGCTTTTTAGACTTAACATGCACACAAAGTGAAACTAATATATGCTCGATATATCTTGAGAAAACGTTTACATTTAATTATTTTCAAAATTTAACTCCAGTAAATATTTTTGGTTTAATTTTGTTCAGAGTTTCTTATTTCTATCTGTGCTCCATCAGAACTCTAAGTGCCCGTCCGGCTGCAGGATCCAGGGTCTGATAGATAAACAGGATCATCTGCTGCTAAAGAAGATCCAGAAGATCCGTAACCTGCTGGATCAGCACAAGGCTAAGCATCGTTCCATCGACCAAGTGTCCAAGCAGACCTACGACGTCCTGAGGGAGAAACTCACCCTTGATTCTGGTCACTATTTAATCAGATTTTCCCGCCTATGTAACAAAAAACATGAAAATCTAAATGTGTTAAAGTGCTTGGTGAAATTAATAGCTTCTATTTACATTATACAATATCTATACTGCATTATTTCAGGTTTCGTTTCATTTAAAGGCCTTGTAGCAAACATTTTATTTAAATTAGTATTAGAGTTAAGTTTTAAAATAAAATTACAACACATAATGCTGAATCCTGACGGGTTTTTTTTTTCCTCCAGGAAATGACAACCTGTATTATGACCTGGCCCAAAATCTGCGTCAGAGGATCACCGAAATGAAGGTTCGGATCGACACACAGCAGAAGACCCTGGCCGCCCTGAGGGACAGGGTCAAAGACCAGGTTGCCGAGATGCTGAAAATAGAGGTAAGTGGAGAAACAATCATTTGGTTGAAGTATCTGAAAAATCCTTTTTTTTCTGGTCAGTTTTTTTGTTCACATTTAGTTAATTCACACAGTTAAGCGTCATCCCAATAATAAAGTAATCTTTTAATTTCACCAACCTGTTGCTTTTGACTGGAAGTGATAACATTTAGAGGAGAACAGTCTACTTCCTGAATGGAATCTCATTTAAAGATTAGAGTGATGGTAATCAGGCCTTCCAGCATCAAAGCCCTATATAACATATTTGATTGCTGGAATTCCAGTAGAAAAATCTATTAACTGAGATGGATACAAGTGATTAACAACATGCCATCTTTTTAATGAAATAAGAATAAATCAGTTTTAGCTTCACTGATTTCTAAAATCAATAAACCAGAACTACAGTTTTGGTTAAATACCGGCATCTTAGTGCTCATGACATGTAATACAAATAATTTTCTTTTTGTATTTTTATCCAGCTTTGTCTTGATGTTTTTGATGTTTAAGAAATCAAGTCTGTATTTTTTGTTTTGTTTTTTGTTAGGTTGATATTGACATGAAGCTGCGCTCCTGCAAAGGCTCCTGTGCCGTTCACACAAACTACCAGGTGGATAGAGAGAGTTATGTGGGTCTGGATAAACAGGTAAAGGATACATGTATGTTTTTAAACCAATATGCGTATTTGACGATGCTGCTTTCTCTGCTGCACAACCATTTGCCTTTTGGGGCCAAATAAAATTAATTGATTGATTGTGTGACAGACTGAAGATCTCAGCCTTCAGGACTTCTTTGTCTTAAATCAGTGGTATCTGCATAATTTCTATAATGTATTTAAATAAAAGGATTTAAATTGTGTATTTAGTTAAATAGTGTAGTGAGTTTTAAGTTGTAATGTGTGCAAAATAAAACTGGTTTCTCTTTAAACACAGTTATTCTTAAAATAATCAGAAACTAATTCCACAAAAAAAGCAAAACCTAACATATATAATGAAAAAAATAACAAAAATCTTCAACCTAATCTGAGAATTCTGACTTTGTTTTCTTAGGAAAAAAAGTTAAAATGTAATTTTTATAAGATCGTGAGAGAGAAAATTAATCAGAATTTTTGACATATTTATTTTTCTGTTACTGGCTCTAATCCCACTTCATCAGAGAGAGATTTACTCTGGTTTACCAACATTGAAATTTGTTTGCTGGTGAAGATTACCAGTCATCCAGGTCATAGTCATTCCAAAAAAAAGAAAGTTAAAAACAATTTTTGAATTGAAAAAGCTTCCTGGATGGGAAGCGAAACGTCTTCAAACTTGGAAAAAAAGATCTTTTTTACTTTCTTTTTTTGGACTAAAATCTGTTACCTTTGAGCCACAATGTTGTATAAATCTACAAACTGTGCTGCCATGTGATATTTTTAGTATTTTAATTCTATGAATGTTAATAATGCTTCACCTTTTTTACCGTCTCAGATCAATCAGCTGGAGTCCTATGAAACCCAGAGCCTCCAGTCAGTGGGGACCATGTATGTGATGAAGAGCCGGCCTCTGAAGGATGTGATTGTTGACTCCAGGTTCAAGTCTAAGGATGTGGCAGCTCAACAGACGGAGGACATGTTCCCTCAGGTGAGGGACACAACTCTCAAAAAGCTTGTTTTTAAATGGAAACATCACAAAAATGTTTTTTAATAAAAAAAAAAAGATGGATTTCTTCATCTCTATGCCACCAATTATCTGCTAAAGAACCATTCTTTAGATTCAAATTAGGGGAAATGTGCACATCACCTTCCATTACGGATGGATTTGGAAAACCAGTGCTATACAACATCCGTGTGTCTTACAGAAAACCAGCAATTTACATTAATAAAGATATTTACTCATAAAGAATTCATTCCATTTCCTATAAATCGACACAGAATGTTAAAATCAATTCCAGATGTTTTTCTTTATTTCATTTATTTAGGCATAAATAAACTAGATGTTGTGAAATATTATAAAATAAAAGTAAAATAAGTGTAGTGTAAATGATATTGTTACAAATTCCTATTTTTCTGTTTGAAATTTGTTTAGTATTTGTCAGAATGACAAAAATGGATGGATGGATGGATGGATGGATGGATGGATGGATGGATGGATGGATGGATGGATGGATGGATGGATGGATGGATGGATGGATGGATGGATGGATGGATCTTAAGTAATCAATTATAAAAGTTGTTAGCTTGTTGCTTTAGCTGGAAAATGAATCCCTCTGTTTTTCGATTTAATCGGAGAAAAACAGTCTCCTTGTCCCAGAATTAATATTTAGTTTTACTTTAGATTAAATTAATAACTAGGAAGTGAAAATTATTCAGTTATAGCACAAGTTTCTAATGCCCATAAATGGTTATCCACCGGTCTGACCGCCATGTTAGCTCCTAGCTAGGGGTTAGCTTGCCATGCTAGTTCCAATTTTGAAAAGGTTTTCACTGAGGTTATACTCATTGGTTGAATTTATTATGAATTATGAATTCAGGTTTCCTGACTTGTTGTTGTTAAAGCTGGAGACTCATCCTGATTGTGCTAACATGCTAATGCCAGTATTAGCTAGTGTTATTCCAGTGATTGGCTGATTGATTAGTGGAACTAAAAAAATATTCATATCTAAACTTCTCAGTGGAACCCATGGAAAGTTTACCACCATGTTTTGCTGAATCACACAGTTTGCTTTCCTCATCTTTTCTTACCAAAATTCTAAATGACTTAGCAGATTGTTGACTAGCTTTTTTTTACATGAGCTGAGTAATAGATTTTAAACCGATGTTCCTTTTGAAAGAAGTTAGTGGTTGCTCTTGTTTTTAAATGTATTTTCCTCTGTCTCCAGGTAAACACTGTTCAGTTTGTCTTAGAGGAGGAAGGCTCCAGTTCATCTCCCGCCACCATCTCCAAGGGCCCAGGTACATCACACTCATCGTCGTCCTCCTCATTCTCTTCCTCGGCGACCTCCACCTCCCCGTCCTCTGCTAAATCCATCACTGAATTCTCAGGACGTGGAGACGGCAATTTTTTCAGCGGGTTCGAAGGGTCACAAAGCCAGCCCAGCATTAGCCATTCGAGCACCAAAACGGTCAGCTGTACAAAGACCGTCAGGAGGACCATCATCCAAACACCTAATGGGCCGGTTGAAAGAGTGGAGGAAGTGGGTGGTGGACCAGAATGTGAGGGAGTCGGTGGTTTTACAAAGGGGGAGATGGGCTCTTTGTTCCCATCATTCGGTGGCTCCTCCTCCTCCTCCTTCTCTGCAATTCATTCTGGTGGAACAAAGGGAAGCCTCCTGGCAGATTCTAAATCCGGCCTGGATCCATTTGGAGCTGACTTTGGCGCGTTCTTGACCGACAACTCCGACGACGACGTTCCTGACTTCCACGCTCGGAGTGTGAAGAGCAAGGTTGTCGAAAGGCAACAGGATTTTGTAGGAACAGGTACTAAAACAGGCAACCTAGAGTAAGATCTGTAGGAATGGAGAAGGAAGAGGACAGCTAGGTAGCTAGCTTGTTAGCTAGCCATATGTAACAAAAAACAAGAAGTGAATTCAAAGCTGCCATCTTATTGGTCCTAGAGTTTCCAGATTTACACGTTTATTGTGACGTCAAACGTTATTTTTAGATGTATTGTAAGTGTTTATTCCATAATAAAAACAATTTTAAGTTAACAAACTATTTCTCTAGAAGCCTAGCTTGTTTTTGATTGCTCCTGACCCAGGGTGTTCACCTAAACCTTTATCTCTCGAACGTTGACCATTTCTGTAACAAAAAAACCTGACATGTCCTCATTGGTCTAAATAGTGTAGAGAAATGAGAATATTTTAGTTTGAAGTTATTGGAGGAGGCAGTTAGCGTGTTAGTCTCTGCAGTAAGTCTCAACCAGCATCTCCAAAGGTGGTCCACGCTAACCGGCGGTCTTCGATGTGTGCCCCTCTGTCCGCAGACTGCGTCGACGTCTACCAGAAGCACCTGAACGGGGAAACGAACGGCCTTTTTAAGATCAAACCCGCCGGCTCCACGGCAACCGTGGAGGTTTACTGCCACCAGGAGGGGATAATGGGTGGGTGGTTGTTAGTCCAGCAGAGAGAGAGTGGCGCCATCAGCTTCAACCGCACCTGGGCCGAGTACCGCAACGGGTTCGGCTCGGTGGACGCTCAGGGGAAAGGAGAGTTCTGGCTGGGCAACCAGAACCTCCACCTGCTGACAAAGCAGCGGGAGACCATGATGAAGGTGGAGCTGGAGGACTGGGAGGGGGGCGTGGCTACCGCGGAGTACACGGTCAGGGTCGGCGCCGAGGAGGACGGGTTCCCCCTGCAGGTATCCGGGTACATCGGAGACGCCGGGGACGCCCTGGGACCCCACAACGGTATGAAATTCAGCACCTTGGACAGAGACAATGACGGGTGGGGGGAGAGCTGCGCGGAGGCGTACGGGGGCGGATGGTGGTACAACAGCTGCCAGACGGCCAACCTTAACGGGGTTTATTACAAAGGTTCATACGAGCCACACACTCAGTCACCGTATAAAACTGCCAACGGTGTGGTGTGGGGCACATTTAAACCGGACACCTACAGCCTGAAGGCGGCTCGGGTTTTCATCCGACCCGCCGCTTTCTGATCCAAACAATCCGGACGTTTGTTCATCTATTGAATAAAGAGAGAAACGAGGACATGAGTGAAGGTTCCCCTCCTGTTCGACCTGTTGGTCAATCATTCTGAGATTTCAACACAACCTCAAACAATGTGATTTACTGTATCGACCTGTTTGTTAGCTTTAACTGTCCAATGTTCTGAAAGTGACCCCGACTCTGTAAGGATCAATGTTTTAATAAACACGAGTTCACTTCTACTGCTGTGTGCTGTCCTGTTTTATCCAACTCTCAACATTTCATAGAAAACGTTGGAGAGGCTAACAGTACAGAAAGTCAGGGATCTTCCAGCTCTTTGAAAAGAAACCTAAATGTGGAAAGATCTAATAATGCTACACTGACATTTTTAAATGCTTAAACTTTCAGAACTTATTTCTACCATTTTCAGTATCAGTATTTTGGTTTATCACCAATATTTGATTCCTTAATAGCTTTTTTTCAGCGTACCAATATTTCCATTCTTTGCTTTAAGGAATCTTCGTTTAGTATCAGAATCTACAACCTTTTATTTAAACGCCTAGGTGTCCTACATTTCAAAACTAATTCAAACTAGTTCAAGAGTTAAAGCACTGTTTAGTTTCATACTTTGAGGAGAAAATTAAAAACAATCCACTGGACTTTGTTTCCAAGTTTGAAGACGTTTGGCTTCCCATCCAGGAAGCTTTTTCAATTCAAAATGTCAGGAATAGCGTTGAGTTTGAGGTTTTATACAGTAGCCCAACAAAGCCTTGTTTTGTTTTGAAAATATGCAAATTGGAACGGACGAAGGGGTCCACCCCTTTGGAATGGGGGTCTTCTGCTCCTTTTGTTAGCCTGTAATGCCCCATACCCATCGATGTGTTAGAAAGGGCGGTCATTAAAGGGAATTGTTGGCCTGGCTGAATAGGCGACGTCTTCCGCTCTCCTGTACAGGAGCTGCGATGACTCAGGATCTCCACCAGCGTACTTTGATGAATGTATATACAATATAATAAGACTTCATTCTGTTAAAGCAGTTAAAGGTAAGCACTTTTTAATTAAATATATTGAAAAATATATCAAACTACACTCAAAAGAGAGAATCCTAATCAATTTAAACACCTCTTGTGACTTTAACGTCATCATTTCATGGTTAATATAATATGTACAGAATATTACTGAAGATGAAAAAAATCAATTTGTTGGATCTGACTAAACATGTATTATTGATTCAAAATGATTGTTCAATGTAGGACTTTAAAATATTGAGTAGATAATAAAATGACATGAAAAACGTCCATGTTCAATTTGACTTGATATATAACTGAAAGAATCAGTTTAAGTTGACTAAAAATGAGGCATGAGGTTGCAAAGGTCAGGACCTGGTTGAAGAACTAATCAAAATGAATGCAAAGGGACAGAAAATACATTTTTGCTGAAATAATCTGCTGCCCAGGTTGCACACAACGCGTCTGTATTCATATCTTCCTCACCCATCTGCCGTCCATAAATGTTAAATCACGACATGTAAACAAGAAGATGTGAGGAGAGCAGAAAAGTTCAGGAGCAATACAGTTTTCACAACATGGCAGCCTTCCTCGTATCTCTGGATTGGAGCTCCAACAATATTATTACCAACACATCAAACAGACCATAGTGATCCACAGGTTGCACAATCAGAGGAGCTTCTCTTTCATCTAAAATCCCCCCTAAGGTTTAAGATTAGATTAGATTGGATTAGATTAGATTAGATTAGATTAGATTAGATTGGATTAGATGAGCTTTATTGATCTCACTGTGGAGAAATTCACTCGTCACATATTGGCATAGAAGTTACAGAGGAAACAAGGAGGAAAAAAGTGCATTAACAATAAACAATATATATACAGTATATCCAGGTATATACAGTATATCAAGATAAATAAGGATTAAGGTGCAAGTGTACATGTATCACACACAATGAAAAACAAAATACAAATAAGAAATAAGAAAATGAGAAATAAAAATATGTACAATCCGGATGGCTTATATACAGGTGGATTTACTTTTACGTTAAAGTGTAGTACGTAAGGAGCAACGGTGAGGTAGTGGTATGACTATTCTATTCACATATATTGCACATTCAGCATATTGCACATTTAATTGATCTAAAACCAATGAGTGAAAAGATCAAGACATTTAGAATTAAAGCAACGATGTAGAAAAATCACTATTAGGTGGATCCAACGTTTTTTTCTTTATTTTTCAGTGCAGACATCTTGGTTTGGAAAATTATGGAATAGGATGAAAAAGGCCTCATTAACAGGAAACTGTCTATTAGCTGAATAAAGCTTTATTTAAAGAAACATCTTCACAGCTTTGTTCTGCAGAGTTTTGTCTTAGTCTGCAGAAACTCCCCTCCTAAGATCAGATCTGTTTTAAATCTAAGGACCAGCAGCGCTACCAGCCTGATAACGGCCAGAACATGACCCGGTCTCTCAATGGTTTAATCATTGAAGACCAGGAGTTCGAAGACTTGGTGGGAAACCAGGAGTTTGTCTCGGACTCTGCTTTAAAGGCTACTTTCTTAGACTAAAGCCAAAAGAGCCATAAGATGTAAAACTTAGATGTAAATCAACACATGACAAATGTGTAAGCAGATTTAAACACGTCTGCGTTTTTTTGTTTTGTTTTTTTGGGGGGAATAGCTAAATTAACTGGAGTCTGTTTAACATTTTCACCTAAAAGAAAAAAAGTCAGAAATAATCAAGTGAAATAAAATAAAAAAATTTATGTTAGCAGAGCTTTTGTTGGTTTTTATTTGAATCCTGTCTGATTGGTTTAATTTTTACTGTTTTATTTTAGTATTAAAAAAATGTTAACAATGAATATTCATATCAAACATAGATCCTTTTTTTTCCTGTGTGCATTCCTATATGTATTATCTTTTTACATATTGCAGATAAAAACTGTAGAACACAGAACAAATGGAGCAGTTGGAGTAAAGGAAGTCATTGTTTATATTGATAAGTCCCTGATTTATAAAACCCAATGAGGTTCTGGTTTTGCTTTAGTGAGGCTTTAAAAGTCCAATGATCCGTGAGAAAACTCCACACACTAGGAAAGTATTTCTAGTCCAATCTTTTCACATTCTAAATGATTTTATATTTCCTTATTAAAGCTCAGAAGGTCTGTTACTGATTAAAAACGTGTCGTTTCTGGAGGGAAGTCATGGTTTGGGCGTAATTTGTTCCACATGGAGAGCAGAGATGGACAGAAAAGGATTTCAATCAGAAGAAGCTTTGAGGACTAGATCTGACTCCAGACGTTCAATCAGCTCAGATAACGAAGGTTAACAGACTCAGAGGAGAATTTATTAAACAGCTGCAGCAACTGATGAAGAATGATTCAGGTATCTGTGTGTGTTTGCATGAGGCTGGATGGTTGCATCCTGCAGGAACAGGTCAGACGTTTGCTTCACAGTGACCTCATGCAACTCACCCTGATCTCAACCACTTTTATTATTGTGCTTTATTCATCCTACACAAAGAAAATGTTTTTAGTGTTGTAATGGGGAAAAAACGCACAACTTTTAGAAAGCTGTGTCGTTTAACTGAAACACAAATTATGACATTTTAGGATCAATATGTTTGATTGGTCGAAAGGTCAGACGTAACAAGAGACAAACTTTTTTGTTTGTTTGTTTGACTTGGCTCATTTAAAGACAAACTGAACTCTGCCTTGTTTAACTTTTTATCCTTTGTAGTGTGTCAGAGGTTCAAACAGCAGGACGATGGCGGCCGCCCTGCAGCTGGAACCCACGCACACAGGATGCAGATGTGCTCAGTTGGATCACATCTGTCTCTGTGCACAGATGAGGACTGGGTAAGAGGTTTACATCTGAGGATCTGCTCTGGTACCATCTGTTGACCAATACGTTAACAGATCCATACAATAAAATACTTTATTGATGGAGAATTTCAAACACCCACAGGGACACGAATTGCTGCATTTAGAATCAATAGACAAAAGTCACTCAATAGTGTGAGGAGTGGTAGTCTAGTGCAGAGGTCACAGATTAGTGGACCTTGGTCCGGATCCGGACCCAACCTGGTTTAAAACATTTATAAATTATCGCATGGTGTCTGACAACAGTGTCTAATTTCACTTGCGCCGCTTCTCCTGTTAATACGGTAAAGCCATTCGTAGCACCAGGCTGCACATGATCCAAATGATCCAATGAGCTGCTGTCAGTCTGGGTCGCTGCTGCTGCTACTTTTAGACACAGCAGGCAAACCTGTGGCAAGCCGGGCGATGGGAAAGAAGGAGATGATGAGAAAAAGAGAGCAGAGAAAGTGTGGACTGCAGGAAGAACTGCGGTGAACTGGTGAAAGAAAAGTGCAATGGTGTGCTCAAAGATGACCCTGCACATTTAGAGGATGTTTGGCTCAACCTGCAGCTGTGACGCAGGATTCTCCACCATGAACAGAATCAACAATAAATCTGGATCCAGGCTCAGACTGAGCACCTTGATATGTGCTTGAGAATGGCTTAGTCTCCATTCAAACCCAGGTTTGAATGGATAGAAAAACGAAAAACAGTCGGTTCAGGTGTTTTATAAAATATGTGAATCAGGAAATTGTCTCTATACCAAACTGAGCGATTGTTGTTCTCTACTTCCAAAACACTTTAGGTTTTAAAATGTATATATATATATATATATATATATATATATATATATATATATATATATACACTATATTGCCAAAAGTATTTGCTCACCCATCCAAATTATTGGAATCAGGTGTTCCAATCACTTCCATGGCCACAGGTGTATAAATTCAAGCACCTAGGCATGCAGACTGTTTTTACAAACATTTGTGAAAGAATGGGTCGCTCTCAGGAGCTCAGTGAATTCCAGCGTGGAACTGTGATAGGATGCCACCTGTGCAACAAATCCAGTCGTGAAATTTCCTCGCTCCTAAATATTCCACAGTCAACTGTCAGCTGTATTATAAGAAAATGGAAGTGTTTGGGAACGACAGCAACTCAGCCACGAAGTGGTAGGCCACGTAAACTGACGGAGCGGGGTCAGCGGATGCTGACGCGCATAGTGCGAAGAGGTCGCCAACTTTCTGCAGAGTCAATCACTACAGACCTCCAAACTTCATGTGGCCTTCAGATTAGCTCAAGAACAGTGCGCAGAGAGCTTCATGGAATGGGTTTCCATGGTCGAGCAGCTGCATCCAAGCCATACATCACCAAGTGCAATGCAAAGCGTCGGATGCGGTGGTGTAAAGCACGCCGCCACTGGACTCTAGAGCAGTGGAGACGCGTTCTCTGGAGTGACGAATCGCGCTTCTCCATCTGGCAATCTGATGGACGGGTCTGGGTTTGGCGGTTGCCAGGAGAACGGTACTTGTCTGACTGCATTGTGCCAAGTGTAAAGTTTGGTGGAGGGGGGATTATGGTGTGGGGTTGTTTTTCAGGAGCTGGGCTTGGCCCCTTAGTTCCAGTGAAAGGAACTCTGAATGCTTCAGCATACCAAGACATTTTGGACAATTCCATGCTCCCAACTTTGTGGGAACAGTTTGGAGCTGGCCCCTTCCTCTTCCAACATGACTGTGCACCAGTGCACAAAGCAAGGTCCATAAAGACATGGATGACAGAGTCTGGTGTGGATGAACTTGACTGGCCTGCACAGAGTCCTGACCTCAACCCGATAGAACACCTTTGGGATGAATTAGAGCGGAGACTGAGAGCCAGGCCTTCTCGTCCAACATCAGTGTGCGACCTCACAAATGCGCTTCTGGAAGAATGGTCAAAAATTCCCATAAACACACTCCTAAACCTTGTGGACAGCCTTCCCAGAAGAGTTGAAGCTGTTCTAGCTGCAAAGGGTGGACCGACGTCATATTGAACCCTATGGATTAGGAACGGGATGTCACTTAAGCTCATATGTGAGTCAAGGCAGGTGAGCAAATACTTTTGGCAATATAGTGTATATATATACCGTAATTTTCGGACTATAAGCCGCACCTGAATATAAGCCGCAGAAGCTAAATTGCATGATTTGTACATATACAAGCCACACCGGACTATAAGCTACAGGTTTTTAACCATACGGTTCGTACACAGAGAGGATTGTCGGGAAAGAGGCAACTGTTTGGGAAAGCTCCTATTTATTAACATTTCAACACAATTGAATTGAGACAATTCCTTCTGCTGGCGTCTCCAACGTCTCACCACTGACTCGTTAATTCCAAGGTTATGTGCAACGGTTCTATTTCCTTTGTTTACTGCCAAATTGACTGCCTTTAACTTAAAAGCTGCATCATATGCATTGAAACGTTTGTTTTCCATAATGGGAGTGTCACACAAACTGTCTTGCCCTCCCAACGTCTCTCTTTCTCGGAGTCTGCTTCCGGAGAACGTCTGCATTCCCGCTCGCGCCGCTACTTGTGTGTTGAAGCAAATGTGACGTCAACATGGTGGATAGTAAAATCCATAGATTTAGGTACCGTATTACCCTAGTGGCCGTTAGCTGTAAAAGTCCATAGATAAGCCGCATTGTTATATAACCCGCAAGGTTGAAAAATGGTCGAAAAATTGGGAAAAAGTCGCGGCTTATAGTCCGAAAATTACGGTATATATATATATATATATATATATTTATTTATTATTATTATTTTTTTATTCAATGTATAAAATGGATGCTTAAACAGCTCATTTTTTTTCAAAGTTTAAAGAAATAGATTATAATTAAAAATGTCTCTGGACCTTCACTGGTTGTTGATTTCAGGTTCGATCCCCACAGCGTGCACTCTGGGTCCCTAAGCAAAAGACCCTTAACCCCACACTGCACACTGGGCGCCGCACAATGGCAGCCCACTGCTCCCCAAGGGCATGGGTCAAATGCAGAGAGTGAATTTCCCAATTGTGGGACAATAAAGGACTTTAGATGTTTTTATATATTGAACCCATATTAAATTCAATAAGATGTAATTTAAGCAAGAATATAGTATTAACCTAGCAAAAAAAAAAAAAAGTATGTTTTTCTGAATTAAAGACCCCCCTCTCGGGGCCGAATTGAAAACAAATAAATAGATTTTTGCGAGAATTGATAGGATATTGATGCTGTTATTTTATAGTGGATATTGTTTTACTGTCCTTCAGAGAAGCTTCAACATGTCCCATTTGTTGAGTTGAACTCATTTTCATTTTAGATGCAATCACTAGTAGTATGTCGACTTTGCGAGGACACCTGCTCACTGGGTAAAACTCATGGCACGGCTGTTTCCCCTTTCCCTCTTCTCTTCACAGTTTATCTTGTTCAGTAAAACAACATTATTTATCCATTTATTTTAAGTTATCTCATCGACTGCGAGAAAATTGGTTAATTTTTATGAAAAAAAAGTAGTTATTTCAGAAAAAAATAACTTTAAAAAAAAAAAATCTTGTTAATTCAGACAAACACACCAATTCCTTTATCTTCTGTTGAATCCATTACGCTTCCGTAACAATAAGAATGAAGTAAAAAGTCAAGATATCAGATGGTGTTAAATACCAACGAGAAGAGGTGGGTATCAGCAGGGGTTTGAAAAGAGACGGGAGAGAAATTTGACGTCCAAGGGAAGCTAATGCCATAACAAGCTGCTTCCTGTGGTTCTTTAAAAACCAAGCAGGAAACATGCTAAATAATAGAAATAGAAGAAAAGCTACTATTTGATCTTTTATTATCACATTTATTCCAACTAAACACCAGTCAAATGCACCCCTTTGAATTGGATCAGTGTTATCGTTCTGTTAAGAGCTGCCTCTTTCAACATTCTTACATCCAGCTCTCCTTTCCTCCCCCAAAGGTTTCTAAATGCCCGTCTGGATGCAGACTTCAGGGTTTGATCTCAGAAATGGAAAGTAGCGTTGAAAGAAAACTGCAGGCGTTCTGTTATAAGGCAGAGATGTACGAAAACGCAATGGAGAAGTCCATGAAAGAGATGACTGACATCTACAACTCGAACCGGATGGTCATCGTCAACATTTACAGTTAAGACTGTTTACTTTACACTTTCTATAAAAAGATAACATCCTGATGCAGTGATGCTGAACTTTTGAAGCTTTCATTTTTGTTTCTAGTGTCTGAGGTTAGGTTTGTGGAGCGTGCAAACAGACTGACTAGAAACCTCACTGAGCTACAGCGGAGGTCACAGTTTCTAGAGGAGAAAATGAAGGAGTTGAGCAGCCGTGTGAGGAAACAGGTGGAGGAGTAGTATCGAACGGAGGTGAGGAGACAAATGGTGGCTTTTAATGTGGTAATCCAGGATGCTCTGGAGGAGTATTCGTTTTGTTAGAGATCACATGCAAAATATTTTTCTTTCTTTTACCTGTCTTTTTGGAGAGAACCTAAGAACTGTATCTTGTCAAGTGAACCTTGATATTAAGCCAATATCTTAAATGCCTTGTTTATATTTTTAGGTGGACATAGACATGAAGCTGAGAACCTGCCAGGGAGCCTGTCGGGAGCCGCTGCTTTACACTGTCGATCATCACAGCTACCAGACGCTTCAGACCAACCTTGGCTTCACTGACAAAACCATGAAACACAGAATCAAACCGGTCAGGCCCCGCCCAAACATTCCCCAAGTCAAGCTGCAGCGGGCCAACGTCGGCTCCCGACTGTCCGCAGAATACAAGCAGATCCCGATGGTCCGGAAGGAACTGCTGTTGCATTTTGAAGACATTGAGCTGAATCATGTGGTGCTGGTGGAGGATCAGTCTGCTGAGGTGAAAGGTCCAACACAGAAGAGCGACCTCCTCGGGACAAGACTCGGCAGTACATCTACACCTTATGGAGAGAGACATTCTTATGAGGACTAGAATGTTCATATATTTGGGACAAAGAAGATTGAGAAGATAGTTTGAGAGGGGTGTGAAGGAAGTCATCTATAATAAAAAAAGAAAAACCAACCTTAAACAGAGGGGTGGACTCCAAATGAGTTTCAATACAGCAATATAGTTTATTCCTTCCCGCTATCATTGCTGCCCCACCCCCACGCAGGGGAGCAGAGCACCTCTTTGTTCAGCCATGCCAACAATTCCATCTAACGACCCCCCTTCCTTTCAAAGATATGGACAGGTATTGGGTATTGCAGGCTAACAAAGAACCCAAAGACTGCCCATTCCCATGGGGCAGACCCGTTCGTCCGTTTCAATTTGCATGACGTTTAACTTCTTGTTTTGGTTTAGAAAACAACAAACAAGGTTCTGTTTTTTAGTCCACTCTATAAAGTCTTTAACTCAACGCTATTCCTGACATTTTTATTTGAAAAAGCTTCCTGGATGGGAAGCAAACATCTTCAAACATGGAAGCAAAATCCAGTGGATTGTTTTTTAAACTTTTTTTGGAATAAGGTGAATCTACTCAATTCCTTAGAAACAATGACAGAGAAAAGTTTGTAACATACTTAATAACTAATAAAACAGGGTATGAATTTTGACTTGTATTTAAAGTTGCCGTAGGAGATCTTGAAAAAACGGCTCCAGCAAGCTATATTTTTGAAAATACACAGCCATGCCTCTCCCTTCAGACCACCCCTCAAAACCACGCCTTCAAAACACATGAAAGCGCATGCTGTCTGTCGAGCTGTTTGGTTCAGATCGAGAAGGAAACAAGCCGAGACCCAGTGCTCGCGACACAAGCTAACAACAACATAATGATACGTTCACACCTAAAGGAGGCAGCAAAAGCAGCTAGTTTACATGCAAAGTCAATGGTTGACACACATCACGTCGCAGCAAAAGGTCCCACAGCGCGTCTATAGCAACAGGAGCAGCGCGTCGCTGATCTGGGAGCTGGACAGGCAGCACTGCTGATGTAGAGCTCTATAATCACTCCTCTGAAACAGTTTATTAATGCCTAAATTAACTCAAAATGACGAAATCTGCCGGCAAAACGCGTACGCTTTTATTATCCTGGTTCCTGCAGTTTAGATTACGTTCATGAAAAGTGCCTCCCAGACGCCGCGGCAAACCGCCAAGAGATGACCAGGCCGGAGGCTGTTGAATGGGATTTGTGGTGACAGCGCACCGCCGGTGTACGGGTGTCTGAGCGGCTCCGACAGAAATAATATTTGAAGGTAGGATGGTAATCTGGATGAACTGACTGTACTGAAAATGTTTTCAGGAGGAATTTCTCAATTCAAAATAGATTCAAACTACTTTTTACCCACTGATCACAGCAAATATAGCTGCCATTGTTCCAGGCAAAGAAAGGATAGGGTAGCTCCGCCCAACGAGCATCAGACCAACTTTTCCAACACGCAGCTAGAGCAGCAAATATGCTTCAGCCACACTTCAGAACTAAACTTGAACAAGCATCAAAAAAGAAGCAGCATGCGCATTTTTGCTGCTTTAGGTGTGAACGCAGCACAACAGTGGCTAGCTTCCAGCCATGGCGTCCTGCACAAGAATTGGGGGGTCGATTCGTTCATGTGTTAGGGTATGCGCACAGTGGGGAGGGACAAGCAGATGACCCCGTTTGACGTGTCAGGAACCAATAGCGGTCCACGGACCGTGTTTTGTGATTGCTGGACGTTACTCATTGAATTCGCACTGTAGCGGGGACCTGGTTGACCAGATTTGAAGCAGAGCCAACGGCTCGGTTCTGCTGCACTGTAGTCGACCAAAATCCCTAACGATTTTGAAATCCCCCCGGACATTTTTTTAGGTATGAAAATTAGAACAATCCTGGGAAAAAGATGATGTCTGGTCACCCTAACGGGGACCTTTTATTCTCGTTTCACTTCCTGATCTTCTATTTCACTGTTTGTTACGCAACTGTGGGAAGGTCTTCAAGCCAAATGGTAAAAAAGTGTGTCAGAAAAGATCTCCTACGCACGTTTAATGTAACCTGACTCTGCCAGATGGATTTGCTCCGCATATCCATCTAGAAACCTTCCGTTGAAGTAATTTTGGGAAGGGGCGAAAATACTGGTTAGCTGATTGGCCTATGTTGGTGATAGACGGGCCAATAAACCAATCAGATCAACGAAGTATGACGTAACAGAGAGACGACGAAGAGGAGCCAATTGATAGATCAAACACTTGCCGAAACCAGTCGGGAGAAGAGCAAAAACATCTTTTCCTCTGAGAAAAGCCTCCAGAGCAGTGTTTTGCTCTTCTTTCAGTGAAGAAATACTCTGTAATTCCGCTAAAACTTGCTCGATAGCTACGCTAATGCTAGTTTCATCGGCTGAAGCCGCCATGTTCTTTAGACTGAACTGTCGCGCTTCTCGTTGCATCACACCTCAACCCGCCTCAAAGGCGACGCTGATTGGACGTTCGTTTGGTGAACGGCTACAAATTTTCTACAATGGAGAGTCTCCAGACTGATTAGTGAGTGAAACCTTGAAAGCTCGCGAGATCAGGATGGTCTAACGAGGCTACGTTTAATGGAAGGTTAGTATTGAGCTACCTTTATGTTTTACATCCTGAATGTTACACTTAAGTTTTTATATGTCTGCAAAGACTACTGTCAACTTCCTGGCTGCTGTTTTAACCCTTTGTTTCTTTATTTATTAAATGTTAACCTCATTTAACAAAAACAGAAAAAATTCTGGTTTTCATACGGTGGAAGTAAGAAACACAGACCCGGATAAATGTATTGTTGCAGAAAGAAATTGTTAGTATTTGAAGGTGACTTTGTTATTTATGTTAAAAGTGGTTAATCACCACCATGTCTAGATAATTCACTTATTTAAGCTGAAAGTGGTTATTCTTTTTCTTTAAGTGAAACATGGCTCCTTTACATAACAATGTGTTTTATTTAACGGCTAACTCTGTTTTCTTCACTTTGTTCTCTCGGTATTTTTTGATGCCTTTCAGAATCTACAGGTGCTGGTCATAAAATTAGAATATCATGAAAAAGTAGATTGATTTCAGTAATTCCATTTAAAAAGTGAAACTTGTATATTATATTCATACATTACATACAAACTCATATATTTCAGATGTTTATTTTGTTTAATTTTGATGATTACAAATGACAACAAATGAAAATCTCAAATTCATCATATCAGAAAATTAGAATATTACTGAAGACCAATAAAAACAAAGGATTTATAGAAATGTTGGCCAACTGAAAAGTATGAACATGAAAAGTATGAGCATGTACAGCACTCAGTATTTAGTTGGGCCTCCTTTGGCCTGTATTACTGCAGCAATGCGGCGTGGCATGGAGTCGATCAGTCTGTGGCACTGCTCAGGTGTTATGATAGCCCAGGTTGCTCTAATAGTGGCTTTTAGCTCTTCTGAATTGTTGGGTCTGGTGTATTGCATCTTCTTCTTCACAATACCCCATAGATTTTCTATGGGGTTAAGGTCAGGAGAGTTTGCTGGCCAATTAAGAACAGGGATACCATGGTCCTTCAACCAGGTACTGGTAGCTTTGGCACTGTGTGCAGGTGCCAAGTCCTGTTGGAAAATGAAATCTGCATCTCCAAAAAGTTGGTCAGCTGCAGGAAGCATGAAGTGCTCTAAAACTTCCTGGTATGTGGCTGCGTTGACCCTGGACCTCAGAAAACACAATGGACCAACACCAGCAGATGACATGGCACCCCAAACCATCACTGACTGTGGAAACTTTACACTGGACTTCAAGCAACGTGGATGAAGTGCCTCTCTTCTTTTCCTCCAGACTCTGGGACCTTGATTTCCAAAGGAAATGCAAAATTTACTTTCATCAGAGAACATGACTTTGGACCACTCACCAGCAGTCCAGTCCTGTTTCTCTTTAGCCCAGGCAAGACGCTTCTGACGCTATCTGTGGTTCAAGAGTGGCTTGACACAAGGAATGCGACAGCAGAAACCCATGTCTTTCATACGTCTGTGTGTGGTGGTTCTTGAAGCACTCACTCCAGCTGCAGTCCACTCTTTGTGAATCTCCCCCACATTTTTGAATGGGTTTTGTTTCACAATCCTCTCCAGGGTGCGGTTATCTCTCTTGCTTGTACACTTTTTTCAACCACATCTTTTCCTTCCCTTCGCCTCTCTATTAATGTGCTTGGACACTGAGCTCTGTGAACAGCCAGCCTCTTTAGCGATGACCTTTTGTGTCTTGCCCTCCTTGTGCAAGGTGTCGATGGTCGTCTTTTGGACAACTGTCAAGTCAGCAGTCTTCCCCATGATTGTGTAGCCTATAGAACTAGACTGAAAGACCATTTAAAGGCTTTTGCAGGTGGTTTGAGTTAATTAGCTGATTAGAGTGTGGCACCAGGGGCCATCAATTTTGAACCTTTTCACAATATTCTAATTTTCTGATATGATGAATTTGAGATTTTCATTTGTTGTCATTTGTAATCATCAAAATTAAACAAAATAAACATCTGAAATATATGAGTTTGTATGTAATGTATCAATATAATATACAAGTTTCACTTTTTAAATGGAATTACTGAAATCAATCTACTTTTTCATGATATTCTAATTTTATGACCAGCACCTGTATAAAGCAGGGGTATTATTATTTTTCAGTGAATGAGGTTATAATAGGCCTAGGTGCAGTACAACTTTTCTACTTTTGTTATTTGCCGTTGTTTCTCCAATAAAATGCATAACAATATTACAGCTTTCATTGATTTATTTCAAACTTGAAACATTGTCTAGCCTGTAAGAAAAAAAAAATAAATGAACCAATTAATCGAATCGTGTCGTGGTGTATTCTTGAGTATCAAAAATAATCAAACCGTTGGGTCAGGAAATCGATACTGAATCGACTCGCCATGATGGGTGTGAATTACACCCCTACTCCAGACCATAAACCTACCACCACCATGTTCTATTATATTTATAATAGAGTTTTTCTAAGGTGAGTTGAGCTTTGCACCCAATGTCATGGGATGCAAACCTAGAAATAAAAGGGCATTGCTGGACTGAACACTTGGTATACTACTATATATATATTTATAAATATGTTTGATTTCTCATGAATCCTGATTGTATTCTTTATCTGAAAACCTATTTGGTAAAACTTTGGTCTCTTTGGCCAGTTTATAACATGTTGATAGATATTTTATTTTCTAGGGGCGCTGAAATGTTCTTTCCTTTGGTACCAATGGCTTAATATCACAGCTTAAAAATGCAGTTATTAGATTACACTGACCTTTAAATGAAATGTTAGTTTTAAAGTGTAACTGGAACTGTGGTAGAAGCAGAAGTTTGACCAATCAAAGCAGAGAGGGCTTTAAGGAGATGGGCATCCAGATATAG